CCCTCCCCCTCCTCCCAGACTTTTATTAGGGCACCAAGCAGGTTCTTTTGTGCAATTATATCCTTCTTCAGCTTTTGCCCTTGCAGCAAGAACTATTGGTTCCAACAGCAATAGGAAACAGTAGAACCCCAAATTTTGCTGCACTTCATTCCAAATGTTGATTGTCCCCGAAAGTGGTCAGGAAAGTGGTCGGGAACACTATGTCCATGTCTCTCCAGGTTTGCTGTCCATGGCCAATTCTGGTCCCAACACCAATGGCTCCCAGTTTTTTATCACTTGCGACAAGACCGACTGGCTGGACGGGAAACATGTGGTCTTCGGAGAGGTCACCGAAGGAATGGACGTGATGCAGCAGATTGAAGTGAGGGTGAGCCTTTGTGGGTGAATGGCTTTGCCTCTCTCCCTTCCACATCTCATTTCTCTCTTCCTCCAAAGGCTCAAGGCAGCAAAGACGGGAAACCAAAGCAAAAAGTCATCATCTCTGATTGTGGTGAATTCATCTGAATGTGGCCGCAAGGAGACGCTGGGTAGGAATCCCAGATAACAGGAGACGACTAAGCACAGCATCACTTTGCCCTGAATGAAAACTGAGATACTTTTCTGAACATTCAGTCCGAGTCTGTATTATGTGTTCAGAACTGTAAAACTCGAGAGATTTCTTTTGTACAGAATTTTTCTTTCTATAAAATTCATGTATTTTTTAAAACAGATTCACCTTTTAATTTGTACAATTGACCATTGTAATGTTACAATAAAATTAGCAATTTCATCAGTAGTGCAGAAGTGGCTGGAGAAGAAAAACCAGCCCTTTTGCGAGGACCTGTTTCTTCGGCTGCCTCTCCAACCCGCCCCTCCCCCCAGACCCAATAAGCCTGGTGGCTGCAGGCAGCAGAAGGTACCCTGAAAAGACTCCCACTGTATCCCACCCCACCTCTAGTTGGGCCACATTTTCTAGTGGGGAATTCCATGGCAGATGGAAGAGGTGGAAGGGAAACAGGCAAGACACTTGAAGCGTCCCAGCAGCTGTGGCATACAGCTGGGCTCAGAAGGTGGAGCGGGCAGCTGCCCTCCCCTGGTTATCCAAAACCAGGCATAGAAGCACAACCCCCCCCCCCCCAAACACACACACCAGAACAGCAGCCTTTGGGAGTTTTTGTTGGGATGGATGGCTCCCTGCTCTTCCCTCCCTTTGGAGCTGCTGCTGGCTGCAGGGGCTGGTAAGAGAGCCAATAGGGCCAGGGGTTTGATTAGCCCCTGCGGCTAGTCAGTTTGGGGGAGCCGGTCGTCATTGGGGTGTTTCTGCCCAGATTTGTTTCTGGGAGGACTAGGCAGACAGCCAGGGACCACTGATGAGTTTTGGGAGTTCCAAGGATAGGGAGCTGGATGGGGGTGCCCATCAAAATAGTCCCAATGTGCACCCCTCCCCTTTTATAAGTGTTGCAAATATGGCACATTGGAGGCAGAACTTGAATCACAGTGATGAGAACCATCTTGAGTCGTTTGACAGACGGGCTTGCTGGGTGGAGATGGTTCAACCTCGTCCATGGCTGGGCCTGTTGCAGTAAATTCTGGACAGCTGCAGGATGGCAGCCACTGAAACGCCTCTGCTGCCATCTTCTGCTCATCCAGGTTTCTGCAGCCCTAGTTTGGGCTTAAATATCTCCCCCTTGAAATGGTTCAACTTCTTGTGGTTCCTCTAACACAGGAGTGTCAAACTCAAGGCCCGCAGGCCGGATGCGGCCCATGAGGCACTTAGATCTGGCCTGTGGGACCACCCTGGAAACTGAAGGACTGGCCCACGGTGCCTCTCAGTGAAAACGGAGCTTTGGAGAGCTGCATGTGGCCCTCCCAGGCTCCGTTTTCGGCTGTGATGGCCCTCTGCAGCCCTCTGCCAGCGAAAATGGAACCCAGGGAGGCCATTACAGCTGAAAACAGAGCCCTGGCAGGCCGCACGCAACCTCCCTGGGCTTCGTTTTCACTGGCAGAGGGCTGCAGGAAGCCGTTGCAGCAGAAAACAGAACCTCTATGAGTGTTGTTGAGCTGGCCACGCCCATCCTATCTCAGCCACACCCATCCTGGCCACGCCTCCCCAGCCCCCTGAGGTCAATCACAACCCTGATATGACCCTCAATGAAATTGAATTTGACAGTCCTGCTCTAATACCTTTGTCTGTTCTTGATGTGATGAAGTAAATGGTCAAAACAGGAGCTGTGTTTTCTCGCTAACGGTTGTATTTCTGAAATGAGGCTCTGCTTCAAGAGACCTTAGGGGTCCCGGGTGCACGAAGGCTTAAATAACAGAGGCTCTTCATGCCACACCCAATCTGCTTACAGCTTTGCACCTCATGAGCTACTCATGAGACGTAGAGTTCCTAGCGTGTATGGGACCTCTGTGATATAGAACATACTACCGGACAAAGGGTCACAAGATGGTTTCCCTCCCTTTCCCTGGTGCTGATGGAAGTCCTGCAAGATTGGCATTGGCATAAGCAGAAGAAAGCGATCTCGGTGGAAGGGCACAATAATATCTTCTGGAGAAGCTGGCTGGCAATACTTCCCAGACAAATTAGTGGAAGGATTTTTTTTCTTGACATGTAACATGTAATTATGGGGAATGAAAACAGTTGCACCATGTTCACCCTGATTCTACAGAGCTCTGCTCTTAGGTGCCCATCTGGAGAGAAGCAGTGATCCACCGAGGGGATCTAGCAATGCTGGCAGGATTGAGTCATTGCCACTAAAAGAGAATTATTAAGTTGCGTGGGAAGCTGCACTCCCTGCCTCGCCCTCTGCCTTCCCAAAGTTTTGCATTGCTCTGCTCTCAGTGGTCGAGGGAGTTCCCAAAAGCAGCAGCTGCAAAGCAAAAGACCCCGGATCTGGACTTCTCTGATGAAACTGCGTGGATTAAAGCCCCAGTTTTAGGAATCAAAATGATTGGGTCCACACAACATACTAAGGCGCTCTTTTATTGTCAAGGTCTTTTCGGGCTTTATGCTAGGATCGCCATCGTCAGCCTGACGCCTTGCTGGGTTCCTGCCATCAAAGGGGAAGGGAGGGGGGAGGCATTTGGGGCCATCCACACCTGTGTATCTAATGGTGGGAAATGGGGGAGGGGGAAGTGACAACAGAAGAAGACCAGATCACCAAACCGGCTGGTACCAGGCTCTTCAAGACCATTTGCCCTGAGAATGGAATGTTACCAGTTTGACACTTCAAACACCATACTGGCATCTGATTGCCTGGCCGGGGTGGGGATTGGGGATTGGAAAGAATAGTGTTGCATTTTGTGCAGCGCCACCGCCTGACTTTGCTGCAACCAGTTTCTTTCAGGACAAGTTCCTTTCCTTCAACTGAATGGAGTCACGAGTCTTCCTTTTCTGAGAGCAAACTGGGGCAGGCCGGACACTTCAGTTGCTATCAGCCGCTGTCAAAAATTCCAGGATCAAAACCTGATGATTGTTGGAGCTCCAGTTCCTTTATGGTGTTTGGACTAAATTTACTTCTTGACTCACACACCATCTTGCACTGATGGCAGGACACCATGAGAGTTCAAACTCTCACCAGTAAGAATTCAAACTTCCAAGTCATTAGCAGACTCGGAGATTGAACTCCGGAGGACTACTTGGAAGTTTCATGTGGATCAACCTGTCCCAATCTGGCCTCGTCTGATGAGCTGGATTGTGATCAGTCCGCTAACGCAGGGGTGTCAAATGCAATTTCATTGAGGGCCACATCAGGGTTTTGTTTGACCTTGGGGGGGCTGGGGTGGGCATGGCCAGCTCAATGTCACTTGTGTTGGGGGTGCCTGTGGCGGCCTGAGCGCTCTGCCAGTGAAAACGGGCTCCCAAGCTGTTTTCGCCTGCAGTGGCCTCGCAACCCTCTGCCAGCAAAAACGGAGCTCCGTGGGGCCAGGCCTTCACTGTTTCCAGGACGGCCCCACGGGTCAGATCTAAGCACCCTAAGGGCTGGATCCGGCCCCCAGGCCTTGAGTTTGACACCCCTGCACTAATGCAAGAAAATAGCTAAATAAATAAATAAGAAAAAAAGAAGGAAGGAAGAAAGGAAAGAAGGAAGGAAGAAGAAAAGAAGGAAGAAAGGAAGGAAGGAAGAAAGAAAAAGAAAAAGAAAAAAAGGAAGAAAGAAAGTCAGGCAGCAGGGAGGAAAAGGAACTGCTTAATTCTTTCTTAGTATCTGTCTTTACACAAAAGGAAAAACAGACCAGCCCATTAGAAGCAGCACAGTGGGAAACAGAATGAATTTTCAGGTCGAAATAGGGAAGAAATTAGTGAAAGAACACCTATCCACTTTAGATGAGTTCAAATTGCCAGGTCCAGGTGGCTTAAATCCCAGGGTTAGGAAGGAGCTGCCAGATATGATCTCAGAATCACTGAAATCGTCTTTCAGAGCCCACAGGAACTGCCAGAGGACTGGAAAAGAGCTGAAGTGTTCCCAATCTTCAAGAAGGGGGAAAAAAGTGGATCCAGGGAACTACACATCCATATCTGGGAAAATCCTGGGAAAGATAATCAAGCAATGGATTTGTGAGCAAGGCAATTTACCAGAAGCCACTTTTAAGGGGAATGACTATTCTCCTGCTCCATTTTTCCTGGGTAGATTGTACATATCAGTATGCCACAGTATAGCCTGTTGTGCATTTGGCAAAGCACATATGTGCCAATAGGTCATGAGGGATTTTAAGATGTTAAAGCTTAGAATTATGTATTATGCAACCAATAGTTCTGTAGACTGTCATATTCAAATGGAAGTTTAGTTTTTTAAAAAATTATGATGATTTTAGTTCTATCTTAAAACAAGCAGTGGGGAGTCCTTCATCCACCCACGCAAAATATTGGGACTTTTTTATGGCCAGCATAAAATTCACATTATTTTGAGCCCTATTACAGAAACATGTCAAGACTGGTTTGTGTAACATGCTACTCTCTGCGTTGCCAATGACTGCTCCTTCATTTGGGGCAGCAAAACAAATTTCTCAGGGGCAGCAATGCTGCAACAGACATTTATTCAAATTGCTTCATTTCCTCTTTTCTTTCCATTCGCAAATTCCTCCCTTCCAAACTAAATAGCATCGATTTTCTTAAGAAGTTTGTGCTACAACTTGTGCATATTTCTTATTTACATATTCATTTGCAATCTGATTTAATGTACATCGGCTATAAGCAATTATTCTTAGCTAATGCATTACATACCCAACTTCCATGCAAGATATATATTCCATTTACTATAGAGATTACCTTTTAACATTTCAAGGCAAAATTTGGAGAGGTATGAATTTCTAATGATCCATGTGCTTCTGTTTGGGTATGATTGCAAAATGTGAAATTAGGTAACTTTGCATTTATAAGCAGGCTAAACTGTTCCCCTCCACCCACCGGCCCAGTCTCTCAGCTGCTCTCTCCTCCCTAGTTGATCAAGGCTGAACTGGAAGGCGTGATGCCTTCTGAACATCTTGCCCCTGGGGTGGGGGGGGGTGTCTCTCCACTTGGCAGAATTGACAGCAGAGCCTCTGGAGGCCGTTGCTTCAGGAGGAATGCCACAAGGTGCCAATGTTGGTTTATGCCAAAGTCTCTGGGCACCTGTGGCAGGGCTGTCTCTGGATCGCAGCCATGTGAGAACAGAGCAAAGTTGGGAAGGGGCTGCCAAGGAAGTGCCTGGCTACGGTTCTGCTCGGGCCCTGGAAATGGTGCTCTTGGGACCAGGAAGGCTTGCCAGCTGCAGAGAGCTGCCCACATCTGGGGCTCCCTGCCAAGCAGCCACTCCTCTTGCTTGTTGCAGAATTACAGCTATTTGATAAACTGCAGCCTGCATTTGCACAAAATAAGTCTATTTGATGTGTTTGGTTTAATGTAATTTGTGGTGCAGGATCAGGGAGGGGGTGGAAGAGGCCACTCCAAAATACAAGCTAAAGCAATGTTTGCAGCCTGTTCATCTGTTCGTTTCCTTGGCAAAGCTGTTTCTCTGTTTGTTTGGTCTTAACCAAACAAACAGCTTAAGCAGCACCTCTGCCGGCAGTGGGAGTCCATGGCAGGGCCCTGTTGTCCACAGGTCTGGGGCTGGCCCTCCTTCGTCCCAGTCCATGGGGCAGGCAGACGCTCTTTCCCTGTCCATCGAGGGCTCTTCCTCTTAGAAGCAGGTAGTAACCGTGCTCCCCCATCCGTGTCAAGTGCCTGCTTCCCCAGAAAGGGCCTGGATTGGCCACAGTGTTAGTGGCAGCCGCAGGACTTCACCACCATATTCCGCTTTTTCCTGAGGATAACATTGTTGTTGCTGTCATAAAAGAGAACAAAGATGGCACTGAGCTTCGTGGGGGCACAGCAGGCCTTGGGAATAGATTCGGGCTTCATCAGGTGGACCTACAAGGGAAGGAACATGGTCACCGGAGCAGGCAAAGCCTCCTACGAAGCCTCCTTCTGCAGGACTAAGCATCTGGCCTGGAGCAGAAGGTCAAGCCCTCGCCAAGACAAACACCCCCCCCCCCCCCGTGCATCCACTCCCCCTGGCCACTCTCCACAAGGAAGCGGAAATGCTTTAAAGAAACAGTGATTCTCAGGGGAAAATGCAGCGGTTGCCATGAGTGGGCCATTTGTCAGCACTGGCAAAAATATTTATTCCCCAAACTTTGAGGCTGCCGTTTATGTTGGAAGGCACAGCTGCTGCCTTCAGCGTCCCAAGTGCTTCCTGATCTCATCTGTGGCAGGAGGAGGAGGACCTCTTCCACGCGGCCACTGGCACAGGGTTGACCACCAGGGGGCACTGGGGTGGGCTGTGTGCATGCACCCAGACAAGAAGGCAACCAACAGTCCAGGTTGCCATCCACAACATCCCTCTCTCCAGCAGTCGAAGGGGAGGAGGAGGGGGAGAATTGCTTTCAGCCTTTTCTTACTGAGCTCAAGTGCAGAAGGAGATCAGCTCTGACCCCTGAATTGGTCCTTTGGTGAGCTCCGCTGGAGAAAGGCCCATTTTGTTCTTAGCAGGCTGAGGCTACTTCATGCAGAAGAGACCAACCTTGGTCAGATGGCTTTTTTCTTTGGGGTCTGGAGGAAATGTTATTCATCTAGACCAGGGGTCCCTAACTTTCTGGACCTCAGGGACCATTTAAATTCATAATTTTAAATCCCACTAATATGATCTGCCTAATGACTGGCTGGGTGGGTGTGGCCATGTGACTGGTCATGTACTGGGTGGGCGTGGCCAACTCAATGTCACTCAAGTCAAGGGGCGCCTCGCCTGCCTCTACTCACCCTCCCCTACCAGTCACTCCTTGCCTCCCTGCCCGGGCTCCTTAGGCCCCCAATAGGAAGCAGCTGTTGGAGCTAAGCAGCCACCAGGAGAAAGAGTTGGCAAAACAGCTGGCTCAGATCAAATTGGATCTGACCGAGAAGGAGGCTCAGCAGAAACACCTCATTGAGGACTAGGAGCATAGGCTTTCCAGGCAGAGGGAAGACCTGTGGGAGTGCAAGGCCAGGCGCTGGCACCTGGAGGCTCAGTGGGCTGAGATGGTCAGCCAGTTCTAGGCCATGATGCAGTCCTACTGGAACAAGGCCCTCTGGCTCCTTGCCACCAGCGGTACTTTCCCTCCAGCCTTCACCCAAAGCCCTGCACCAGCAAGCTGAAGTAGACCCCAAGTTGGAATTTCTTCCCCCCTCTGACCCACACAAAAAGACCCCGAAGGGGGAGACTCTCTGCAGCAACACAAACATTCATTGCACGTATCTGGCCCAGGGGCCGTAGTTTGAGGACTCCTGATTTAGTGCAATATTAAAAAAATGCAAATAATTTTTCTGCGGACCACCAAAATTTTCTCACAGACCACCAGTTAGTGACCATCTAGACTATTGTAGAGCCCCCTTTCCGTCTTGGAGAGATCCAAAAAGGGACAAAGCTCATCCTTCTCCAAAGGAAGAGGCCCTTTGTGTGCACACACCTGATCCCAGACAAGAGCCAGCTACCCTTTTTTGAGCAAGCCTCAGCTGCAAGGGGATCTTGGTGAAGGGGAAGAGGTTGCTGCTGCTCTCCACCAATAAGGGCTTGGATGGGGGACGCCAAGAATCTGGCCCTCCCTCCTTCAGCCCTGCTTCAGCCCTTCTCTGGGGAAGAGCCAGCGCAGTCGAGGGGAGAAGATGCTGGAGCTCCCCAGGGGATTTGGGGCCAGGCACTCCTTCCCAGCTCAGTGTACTCCTGCAGAGGGCTGTCGTGGGGAAAACTGGGAGAGGGCGAGCCTTGTTTGTCCCTTAGAGCTCCTAGAGGAGAAGCCAGAGATAAATCCAACAAAAAATAAAACAGTACAATAAATTGCTGCCCATCTTCCCACTTGCTAAGAAGCCCTCCTGCTGCCTCCCGCAAGAGATACTGACCAGCGACTGGACGATGGCATGGTTGGTGGCATTCATGGAGGAATTCAGGGGAAACAGACACTCTCCATCACAGTAGAATGCGGGGTAACTCTGGGGGGCAATCACCCAGTCCTGGGGGAGGATAAGGACGAAGGTCAGTCCCTCCACTCCTGCTGGCGGCTAAAGGGAAACTGGTGGGTGGGCCAGACCAGTGTAGTTTGGCAATTTCCTGAATCATCTGATACGAGAGATACCAGAGCTAGAAGTTTTCAAGAAGAGATTGGACAGCTCTTTGTCTGGAATAGTATAGGGTCTCCTGCTCGAGCAAGGGTTGGACTAGAAGACCTCCGAGGTCCCTTCCAACTATTATTCTATGCTCTATGTTCTACACTTGGGTGGGTGGGTGTCACTTTCACTTCCAAAAGGTCAAGCTGAGTTGCAAGAGGCACTTTCCTCCTTGACTGAGGAACCTGGATTTATTTCTCTGAAACACTTTAAGGCAGCTTCACGTGGCATCAGCTAGACCAGAGCCCCTGGGGTACACGTGGCAAAAGGGAGGGGGCAGGACGGGCAGAGGTACCTGAACCCACAGTTTATTTTTTTCTGGGAACTCATGAAGAACAGAGTTAAAAATGGTTACCAGCCAATCAAAATCTTGAAACTTGACATTCAGCTCATGCCTTCTGCAGACCTGGCTGTGTTCAGAAACATAGACATCATCTAAGGAAGGAAGGAAACAAAGACGTGGGTGTTTCTATTATGGAGCTTCGCAACCAATGCTCCACGGCGGGATCTCCAGTCTTTTGGTACAGGGAAGGGGAACGCATCCCACAGCCCCACTCCCTGTGCCTGGCTTGGACTTCCAGCTGCCCTGCCCCACAGGGGCGGCGCCCACAGCTTTTCCCTGCCAGTTCTTAGCTGCAGCTCTGGGAGGTAAAGGCAGGCAAAAGCTTGGTGCCCAGCGTGGCTCCATCCCTGCCCATGGCTGCTTTCCTGTGAGCCAGACCTGCCAGGCCGTGGCACTCTGGCCTCCAGGACTGCCCTTTGGGGAAACCTTCCCTGGGCCACAGAGCTCCCCAAAGAAGGAGCAGATTCAAAGAGGCACCGGCTGAGCTGCCTCCGGATGCAGGGATGGTTCTGCAACTGGATTTTGTTAAACTTTCAGACTCCCAGGTGGGTCAAGACGGGTGGGCGGGGGCTGGGCTGGCAGTTCTGGGAATCTGAGTCCAGGCCTGCCCTCCTTCCCTTTGCCCACCAGCCAAAGAGCCACTGCCTGCAGATGAAAAGCAGTCAGATGAAAACTGCTAGCAGCCACAGCTTGGCCCACCTGCATGCCAGGAAAATGGCTGCTCTCAACTTTCTTCAGGGTTGGGGAAGTTGACAGGGGCAAAACATATGTGTCTTTCATGTGTTTGGGGTATGTTTGAGGATCAAGCAAATTCTGCTGAAGCCTGACGGGTTTGTGGTTGAATTTCCACTAGGCAGCACAGCCAAGGAAGGCTACGAAGCTGCAGGTTGAAGAGGCTCATTCTGCATTTCCATCCAGACTTGATTGGCATCAAGGAGGCTGTGATGCCTCCAGCTGCTTCTCAAACCCTGAGCTGCTCCTTGGTGGGCAGACATAGCTCCAGGGCATCCAGGGTGAGGGCAGAAACATCAGGAGGGCAGCCTAGTGGTGTCATTGAGGCCCCACCTGTTTCTACAGGTGTTGTGCACAAAAACAGGTGGCGCTTTGATTGTGGTATCGCCATTTTGACTTTTTTTGACCAGACTCTGTGATTACCCCGTGTAGCTTGGTCAGCCAAGCATCTTCCTGTCTTTCTGCTTCTTACCAAAAAGCCCCGGGAGCCTGTTGGAGTGTGGGAAGCTGTAGGTCTTCCTGTGCTGCGGTCGTCGTTTTGCCTGCTTGGCTGCTCGGGGGAGCCTGACCTGGTTTTCGCTCTCCTGGAAAAAGGTCACCACGAAGGGCTGCTTGGAACGTGGTCCATGGCGACCCAAGAGGCCGCCCAGTCCTGGATCCACACTCTCTCCTTCAAAAGCCAAAGAACAAGCCCTGATAACGCTGCCAGCCGGAATAACAAGGGAGCTCCTTCATGTGATAAGCCTGGCACCCCTTCCAGAGGGACTTCCAGGAGGGGGGAGGGAGGGGGGACTGAAGCACTAGGCGGAGGGCTGCAGGTGTCTCCTTCCCTCGAAGCATCTTTTGTCTCTAGCACAAAAGAAGGGGGAAAGCAGAGTTTCCACTGGTCTGCCCTAAAAAGGACTGTGCAAAGGAATTCTTATGACCCTCAAATACTGTGGGACTGACAGCCACCTTTTGGACACAAATTTCAAAGAGAAATGCAACGCCCACCGGATTTGTTTGACATTAAATCCTTACAAATGAACTGAGTTACTGCTCCAGCAGCTACTTTTTCTTACTATTGTTTTGCACAATGTCAGGACAAAGTTTGGTCTCCACAAAGATTGCAAGTCTAAAATTTAAAAAAATAAAAAGATGCTAGGCAACAAGAATGAAGTTAAAACAAGTAAGAGAACACCTATCTGATCTTGTCGAATACAAATCACTGGGACCTGACGGATTACATTCCAGAGTTCTAAAGGAGCTGGAAATTGTCATCTCAGAATCACTGTACCACATCTTCCAAAAATCCTGGAGCACCAGGGAACTACCAGAGGACTGGAAAAGAGCTGATGTGGTTCCAGTGGTGGGATTCAACTAATTTAACAAGCAGTTCTCTGCCCTAATGATTTCTTCCAACAACCAGTTCACCAAACTGCTCAGAAATTTAACAACCGGTTCTCCTGAAGTGGTGCAAACTGGCTGAATCCCACCACTGTGCGGTTCCCATCTTCAAAAAAGGGAAAAAAACACAAACCCAGGAAACTACAGACCAATCAGCCTAACATCCCGGGAAGATACTGGAAAAGATAATAAAAAAACAGATCTGCAGATCTAGAAACAAGTAGAGTAATAACTAGCAGTCAGCACGAGTTTGTTAAGAACAGATCATGCCAAACCAACCTTATTTCATTCTTCAACATAGTGACTAAATTAGTAGACCAGTGAAATACTGTGGACATAATATACTTAGACGTCAGTAAGGCATTTGACAAAGTAGACCACAATCTACTTCTTCGTAAGCTAGAAAAAAGAGGGATAGACACCATCACCACCAGATGGATTCGTAACTGGCTGACAAACTGTACTCAACGAGCAGTCCTTAATGGGTCTACGTCTACATGGAGGGGAATAAGCAGTGGGGTACCACAAGGTTCCGTCTTTGGGCCAGTACTTCAATATCTTCATAAACGACTTGGATCCTCATCCAAGTCGTTTATGAAGATATTGAAGTACTGGGAATAGAAGGGGAACTTACCAAATTTGCAGATGATACTAAGCTGGCAGGAATAGCTAACACCCTAGAACAGCGGTTCTCAACCTGGGGGTCGCAACCCCTTTGGGAGTGGAACGGCCATTTCACAGGGGTCACCAAAGCCCTCTCTCGCCCCCCCATGCCTTCACTCACCCTCACCCTCTGCCGGACCTCTGTTGGCTGTTCGCTTACCCCACCCACTCCCAATCTATTGCTGCCTCCTGAGTCCCAGTTGACGGCTAGAGGGAAAAAAACCTGTTTAAATTCTTGCCGCAGGGCTTCAAAGGGCCGCCCTACAGCTGATCAGTGTTAAAAGAAAACAAATGAGTAGACCGGTGCCTGCAAAAATAGAAAAAACGGCCCTTTTCAGCTTCAGCATAGGTTAATTACCACAAGTTGATTAGATCGGCCTCCCAACTCTCAGCTGATTTGCTCTCAGCTGTTTTGCACAGGGGTCTGTTGCTAGCTGCAAAGAGAGCTGGAGCAGATTTTTTTCCCCCTAGATATGCTGAAAAAGCGAAACTGAAAGTAAAGCAGGGTCTTTGCTGCAACGTGACAAAATGAGGCAGAGAGAGATTTCTTTTTCTTTTTCCTCACCAAAAAAGGTAGGTGCAAAACTGCAAACAATGGGAAATTTAGGGCAAAAGAGGAGGTTCAAGATTTTAAAACACAAAAGAAAAAAAGCTCTATTTAACTAGGGAATTGTAATAATTGAAATACTATTAATTGTATATTGTATTGAAAGCAGAAATGGTTAAGTTGTGGTTTGGAGGAATATATGGGGGAAATTATTTGGTTTATTATTATTGGTAAATATAATTAATTGATTTGTAAGAAATTGAATTGCATGGAAATAATTGGAATATTCATGTTCATATTAATTAATATACAAAAAAGATAGTTATATAACTAATTGATTTATATTAAAATGTTGAATTTGTATTAAACAACTGTATTACATAATTACATAATTAACCAATGTGAGGATGGATATAAAAATAGATGACAATGTGAAGGGGTATAATATAGAAGGGAAAAATTGAATTTGATTAAGATAAGAGATGAGGGTGAAGGGTGATATTGGTTTTTTAAAAAAATAGACGAGGAATAAATATGGCAAAAAGGAAATATAGAAATTGTAAATTTAATTGAAATGACTAAACACTGTTTAAATTTGTGAACTGGCCAAATACTCTGTTCAAAGAAAATACATTGTATGTTTGTATGTGAGTTTCTAATTATTGCTATTTATTCATATTTGTTCTCTTTTATTCTTTAAAGTTTAACAATTCATTCTTTATCTTAATATCTTTATATTTGTTTGGGGTTGGTTTTCTTCCCTTTCATCTTTTTTATTGTACAGCAATCTTTCTCCTCAAACCTACCACCTCTCCCTTTTCTTTCCTTCTTACTTTCTCTTCCCCCCCTCTTCTTCTCCTTCCTCCTTCCTCTTCCTTTCTCCTTCTCCTCCTCTCTTCCTCCCTCTCTTACCCTCCCTCCTACTCTAATTTCCCTTCCCTTCCTTCATCCCTCTCTATTGCTGTATCCTTTTATGCATATGGACTACTCAGAGGGCTGAAAAAGTTATTTTTGACTGGTCCTCGCACTTTTGACCAGTCCTCGAATTTATGACTGTCCTCACATTTTACGTTTTTTGCCCTATCTTGTCACCATGGTGAAGAGAAGCAGTTGTGAAATGAGTGACACGATTGTTAAGAATGCTATAATGGGCATAAATGATGACCAGTCATAAGTGCGAAGAGGTCCACAAAAGTGCGAGGACCTGTCAGAAATCACTTTTTTCAGCCCTCTGGGTAATCCTTTTGTGCACATGGACTACTCAGAGGGCTGAAAAAGTTATTTTTAACTGGTCCTCGCACTTTTGACCAGTTCTCGAATTTACGACTGTCCTCACATTTTACGTTTTTTGCCCTATCTTATCACCATGGTGAAGAGAAGCAGTTGTGAAATGAGTGACATGGCTGTTAAGAATGCTGCATGGGCATAAATGTGAGGATGGTCATAAGTGTGAGGACCAGTCAAAAGTGCGAGGACCTGTCAGAAATGACTTTTTTCAGCCCTCTGAGTAGTCCCTATACACATAGCCATGGCCACCTGGTCACATGACCAGCTAGCCACGGCCACCCGGTCACATGACCTCCAAGCCACACCCACAAAATAAGCCACGCCCACAGAACCGGTAGTAAAAAAATTTAGAACCCACCCCTGGTTGGGGGTCACCACAACATGAGGAACTGTATTAAAGGGTCGTGGCGTTAGGAAGGTTGAGAACCACTGCCCTAGAAGATAGGCTCAAGATCCAGATGGATCTCGACAGACTTGAACACTGGGCCCTATCTGACTAAATGAAATTCAATGTAGAGAAAAACCAAAAGGACACATATAAACTGGGTGAAACCAGGCTTAATAGCAGTAACTGTGAGAGGGATCTTGGAGTCTTAGTGAACAACCAGTTAAAGATAAGCCAGTAGTGTGCAGCGGCAGCCAAAAAAGCCAATGCAATCCTAAACTGCATTAACAGAGGGATCCAATCAAGATCAAGTGAGGTACTAATACCACTCTGTAAACCCTTAGTAAGACCACACCTAGAATACTGCATCTAGTTTTGGTCATCACTATAAAAAAGATGTTGAGACTCTAGAAAGAGTGCAGAGAAGAGCAACCAAGAGGATTAGGGGACTGGAGGCTAAAACACACGATGAACAGTTGCAGGAACTGGGCATGGCTGGTCTAGTGAAGAGAAGGACCAGGGGAGACATGATAGCAGTCTTCCAATATTGGAGGGGCTGCCACAGAGAGGAAGGAGTCAAGCTATTTTCCAAGGCACCTGAAGGCCAAACAAGGAATAATGGATGGAAACTGATCAAGGAGAGATTCAACCTAGAAATAAGAAGAAATTTTCTGACAGTGAGAACAATCAACCCATGGAACAGAAGTTGCCTTTGGAAGTTGTGGAAGCTTCATCACTGGAGGCTTTCAAGAAGAGATTGGACTGCCATTTGTCAGAAATGGTGTAGGGTCTCCTGCTTGGGTGAGGGGTTGGACTAGACGACCTACAGTAGAAGGTCACTTCCAACTCCCTTAATCTGTTTAATCTGTCTGTTTAAACTAATTGGCTAGGACTTCAGGAGGAATACATTGTGTTCCCTGAAAAGATGACCGACAAAGAGCGGGAGACAGAAACTTCTAATTAATGTTGCAAGGGTCTAATTAATGCAAGAATAACAGTTATTTCTGAATAAACATTGTAGAATGGAATGGGGGCAGACATGTGGATGATCTAGTACTGTTTTAACTGCCTTTTTTTTTTTTTTTTTTTAAATTTGATTTATATGCCGCCCTTCTCCGGAGACTCAGGGCGGCTTACAATGCGTTAAGCAATAGCCTTCATCCTTTTGTATATTTTATACAAAGTCAGCTTATTGCCCCCACAATCTGGGTCCTCAATTTACCCACCTTAGAAAGGATGGAAGGCTGAGTCAACCTTGAGCCTTGGCGAGATTCGAACCTGCAGAAATTGCAGGCAGCTGTGTTAATAACAGGGTGCATTAAACCACTGTACTACCAAGGCTCCTTGGAGAACGTCTGTTTAATTCAATTCCTAGCTGATTGCAGAAAACCTCAGCAGAATTAAGGAGCATTAGGGAAGCAGCAGCTTTTGATATCTTCACATAGCAACATAATTGTCCATTCCTTTAGAGCAACAGTCCCCAACCTTTCCAGCTCCATGGACTGGCAGCAGTGGTGGTGGTGGCAGGAGGGAGGGAGGGAATGGTTTGGTGCACACATCTGCCACTTGCGCAAATGAAACTTCGCCCACTTGCCCACTACTTACAAGGACTGGTTCCCAACAGGCCGCAGACTGGTACCAGTCCACGGAGGACTCCTGCTTTAGATGAACCAAAATTTCTGTTTACTGAGTTGGTATCTTCTCCCTATTACCTGTGAGTATCTCCTCCCTTCAAACAGGAATGATAGAAAATTAAAATGGACAAAACAATACATTAGCCTTACCATCCTCTGTCTCCACATAAAGTCTCAGCCCCAAATTGTATTTCCGGTTCAACAACCAGTGGTTGCTAGCAGCTGTGACATCGAAGGTCAGCCATCCATCCATGCCAGCCAGAGTTTCCTGAAGATCTAAGAACATAAGCTTGGATTCCCTGGAGGAGCAGAAAATATATTGGAGCCTCTCAGGTTAAAATGAAAGCAATGAATGTGCCAGATGTCATCACAAACTATCAGAGAGCTTTAACTCTTGAGTGGTTTAAAAAAGGAATTAAGTAAATCCCACCCACCCATCCCCGGCTCTTGAGCACATTCTTCCAGACTGAGATATCTGCTCTTGGATTTGGTCCCACCTGATGGCAGGGCAGTGGCAAGAACCACTGTCCTCGTCTTCCCACATTCCTAAATTCTGACAAAGGAAAGCAGGTCAAGAAGGCCTGCCTGACACAGGAAGGCTCTGGGCAGGACTGGTACAGGGCACACCAATCTTCAGGGGCACAAATAAACCAGCAGGTGATCCAGGCAACGGCTCTTTAGACACACACAGCCGAAGGCCTCGTGCTCCTCCTTGGTTGAACAGGGAAACTTAGGAACACCAAGACTGGTCCTCAACTCACCCTCACTCCTTTAACGCTCGTTCAAAGTTACAGCATCACAAAAAAAAAGTGAGTTATGACCAGTTCTCACGTTTACAACTGTTGCAGCATCCACACAATCACGTGATCTAAATTTGAGTGCTTGGCAACTGGCATGTATTTATGACGGTTGCGGCATCCCAGAGTTAGATGATCACCATTTGCAACCATTTCAGCCAGCTTTTGACCAGCAATGGGGGAAGTTAGAATCACAACAATTCTGGCAAAAACTTTGTTAAATTGGGAACAACTCACTTAACAATCACCTTGCTTAGCAATGGAAATTCTAGTCCCAAGCATGGTCTTAAATTGAGGACCATCTGTAAATACATACATACATGTCTAAAGAGGATTCCTCCAAGTTTTAATTGCAAATCTTTGATCTCTGCCGCTTTTATTTTTACATTGTCTGATATTTATTAACAGATGTACAACTATCAGTCTTATCTGCAGTTTTCAGATGATTATCCTCTTGGGATCAAGGGATGTTTTGCTACAGCCTCTTTCCTGAGAAAGGAGAAGCAAAATTAACCAAGCAGAGCATCTCCTTGTCATTCGCTCGCAGGAGGAAGAATTCTTTCTGGTAGCTTATTGGTTCACATGCAATTGAAATGTTTAATCAGAGAAACAGGGGCTGGAGCCACCAACCAGTCAGCTAAGGCCTGAAATCAAAAGTTTGGGTCTCTTTGTACCTGCTTGGGTGCTCCTGGATGACCTCGTAAACGCTGATGTGAAGGGTCTGATTAACATGGCAGGTGTAACTTTTCATCTTGTAAATTCGGAATTCGGCCGCCATGACAGTCTCCCCCGTTGGGATCTGAGTTAAGTCGAACCTGAATTCTTTCCAGTAAGGCTTCTTCTGGAAAATGCCTCTGTCCAGCTCAACTGAACAGAGTTGCACACATCAAAAAGCAAAAATGCATTTATTTGGGCCTCCATTTACTTTCAAAATACAAATTACTTTAGAAGTAAAATCCAAATTCAAGTAATAATAATGGTTAATTAAAAGCAACGCAGCAGTCTAAAATACATTTGGATGGCTAAGAGAAAGTACAGTGAGTCGGACAAATGATGTTCAATCAACAGGTGTCACAAACAAACTAAAATAATGAGATCTACCTTGCTAACTATACTTGTAAAAATGATCTTGCAAGAGCAGTTGATTGCAAATATGAGATGCCATGTGATGTGGTTGCATAAAAGGCAAATGCAATTATAATCTACTAAATTAAAAGTTTCCAAAATTAGGATTTTATTATATATTACCATTTGGATGGAAAAAATGCTGAAGTCACCAGACTAGAAACAAGAGCACTGTGAATCCTAATCCTGCAACAGACATTTTGGCCAGTCCTTCTCTCTCAGCCCAAAATGTCAGGCTGTGGGGACAATGAAACCAATGGCTCAACATGCGGCTGATCTGAAACAAATTGGACCTGCATTTGCAGGAAATGATTAAAAGGGAGGAAAAAAAGCCCTACAATTTGAATAGGAAAGACAACCATAAGGCACAGATAAGGTTACTGTAAAACCCATTTTAGGGAGGGCTGTTGCTCTACAGTGATAGAAACCCTAAGATCAAGTTCTGATAGAATGGATGGATTTTTCTAGATTGTCTCTTTCAGTTTGCAGAAACATAAACAAAAGTGAATTCCTGTTCAGAGCAGTTTACAATTTGTCAGACCTGCCATCGTATCACTTCAGCTCTGCTTCTCTTCAATGGCAGCCTACCATAAAAGGAGGGAGGGAGGATGACAGGAACCAGAAGTGCCAGCCAGGAACAGAGCCTGGCAGATTCAAGGACGCAAGCGTGCAGGCAGCTGGTCATTTGCATTCTTTTAGAGAGTCGTTGAGGTCACTTGGAGGTTTGTCTGCTAAAAAGAATGCAAATAACCAGCTGTCTGCAAGGAAAATAAATCGTTCCATTCCCCACCATCTAGTCAGAGCTGAAAAAGTTTCTTGGATGAGAAACTAAATATCTTCTATGAAAAACAAGTCCAGTTACCTCTTGAAAAAGCACCTTTTGCACAACTGTGACCTGGATGACTGTGAATCTCCATAGACAATACCATTGTACAATTACAAAAGGACCAAAGGGGGAAGACCCGGGAGAAGAGAGAAGCACTAAGATCTGGCTTTGCTTATGCTGTAACCACTTGGTTTTAGTAATAGTATACCTTTTGCTCAGAGGTGGTATTCAGCCGGTTGGGACCGGTTCGGGCGAATTGGTAGTGGAAATTTTAACTGCTTCACTGAACCGGCAAATACCACCTCTGCCTTGCCCCGGCCCTGCCCACCCGGTCGCCGCTTGCCTGGCCTGCCTGCCCTGGCCACCCCCGACACACCCCACCCTATATATGCTAACTTCGCCACGCGGTCCAGCTAATTGCCTCGGTTTGCCTCAGCACCTCGCCCGCTTTGCTCACCAAAGGTAAGCATGCAGCCCGCTTACCCTTTGCCTCAGATCAGGCTTGGGGCCCAAGGACGCACCATTCCCCAAGGCCCCAGAGCCTCCACCCACTTGCCATTTGCCTTGGCTAGGTCGGGGAACGCGCCATTCCACAGCTCCGGCCTTGCCCCGGAGCCTCCGCCCGCTCGCCATTCGCCTTGGCCAGATCAGGGAACATGCAAGGCTCTGGCCTTCCCCGGGGCCTCCGCCCACATGCCACCCGATCACCCTCCGCCTTGCTTGCCTTGGTGGGGGTCCCTAGCCACCTGTAGTTTTCGGCTGCCTTCCAAACAGCTCCACTGCGACACCATCCCTCTGGTGCAGCAAGCCGTTCTCCTGGCTGGGTCTCGCCATGAGCGGCACCGGCAGGCAATGGGGTCTGTGTGCACGAAGAACAGGGCTATGGCGGTAATCGGACTTCTTCAGGCCTTTTTTTTTGGCCTGTAATTTTCTATAGTTTTCAGTGCAGGAAGCCGCCGTTGGTGGCTTCCATTCTGGCTGACAAAGAGGCAGCAGCTGGAGGCTTCTCGTGCCAAAAAAGAGGCGGCAGCTGCAGGCTTCTTGTGCCGAAAACTACAGGCTGAAAAAGAGGCTTGAAGGCCCAGCGTCGCTGTCAGCGCCCTGTTTTTCGCGCTGGCTGTGCACATGCAACCCATTGGCTGCCAGTGTACATGCACGGCCAAACCCCATTGCCAGATCTGGCCAGGAGAACGGCCTGCTGCACCGGAGGGATGGCGTCGCAGTGGAGCTGCTCGGAAGGCAGCCGGACTGCAGTGTCCCTTTAAGGTACTTTGACGCTGGGGGGAGGGGGGACTCTAAAGGGACAGGCCGCAGGAGCTGCCTTTTCTGCAAGTTCTGTGGGCGTGGCTTGATGGGGTGATGTCGAGTTGGCCACACCCACTTGACCTTGCCACGAGTAATGTTCAATCACATGACCCCCCCACCAAGCCACGCCCCAAGCCACCCCCACAGAACCGGTAGTAAAAAAAATTGTATCCAACCACTGCTTTTGCTGCAAATGGAGTGGAAGGTCCATCTTTCCTAAATGCCCAAGCTGGGACAGGCACAGTTAGAATTTCAGGTCAGGGAAAATGCACATATAAGAACTAAAATGAAGTGTTTGACCCTGCCAACTTTAAGATCTATGCATGTCCCAGGCAGCACTCCCAATTCTGGAAATGGAAGACCACAAGTCTTGAAATTTCCAAGACTGGACACCAAGAGATGGAAGTTACAGATGCCTGTTGAGTTCCAGTTAACAACAAAACTGGTCAAATAGAGCCTCCTTGTGATTGTGAGCAAATATAACATCTTATAAGAAAGGTGTGGAGAGGAGCAGGAGGTTCTACTATGAGGCCTGAACGAAATAACCAACAATAACCTCCTTTGTCTATGAGGCACAATGGAAGGTGTGCCTCCAGAACATCTATAGATCCCTCTATCTATCTACTGACAGCAAGACCAAAAATAGCTCTGAAGCTCAATGCAGTGCAACAGACGGTCCTCATGAGCAAGATAGCTTCAAATCCTGCTAATGGGCCCAACACAAATGCTTTGCAAGATGGAGAGGTACAGTGATGAGCCCTATACTCATCATACAAAGCTAGCTGTATAATGCCTCCTAGTGATCAGCCACAAACATAACCACACACATATATAAAAACAAGTAAATAGATTTCCACCTATTTTTTTTCATTCAAATGAAATCCTGCAAGAAGATTCCCTCCCACATATCCCAGATTCAACTGTATTCTTATTCCAGCATGTCAATGTGTCTTTGTGGGAAGGAAGGACCATAGGGAGGCTTCTCATGGAAAACCACCAGTGCATCCCCCCACCCCTGGGGGAGGGGGAGATCTGAGCTCAATTCAGGGATTGCATCCAAAATGTGGTGCCCCTCCCAAGTAAACTCCTCTGGCTGACACCTGGAAGAAAAAGCTTTATCTGGAAAAGAGAATTTACAACAGTGTTTCTCAACCTTGGCTACTTTAAGATGTGTGGACTTCAAGTCCCAGAATTCCCCAACCAGCATGTCCAGTCTGCTTGTCAGTCATGCTGGTTGGGAATTCTGGGAACTGAAGTCCACACATCTTAAAGGGTGGGGGGAATGGATCCAGGAAACTGCAGATCAATCATCATCATCAATACTTGGGAAGAACTTGTAAAAGATAATCAAGAGCTGCAAACACCTAGAAGCAATCAAAGTTATAACCAGAAGCCAACATAGGTTCATCAAAAATAGATCATACCAAACAAATCTTATTTCATTCTCTGACAAAATGACTAAATTAGTGAACTAGCAAAATGCTGTAGACACAATATCAGATCTGCCATCTTCAGCATAGCTCATTTTGCTGGCATCCTGGGGAATAGGGAATGGGCATGGGAAGGAAGGAGGGGGGAATGACAGGGTGAGAGGAACCAGAGGTATCAATGCAGAAAGAACCAGCTGCTCAAGGACGGAGCCGTGAGAACAGAATGTGAATGTGAAACTCCACCAAAGAGGCACCGATCCTCAAAACATCAAAAATGAACACTATTGGACACTGATGGACTGACCAAGTGGGGAGGACCAGAGAGATGGGAAAATCTCAGGCTTGTGAGGGAATATTCAGACCTAGCTTTGCTTATGATTAACTGCTTGAACTTAGTAAAAGTGAACCTTTCACTTCATCAATGGAGCCAAGAGTTTTTCTTTCCTAAGGACCCAAACTGGAACACACCTGACAGTATACTTGGACCTCAGTAAGGCATTTGAGAAAGTAGACCACAATTTCTTCTTAGTAATTTAGAAAAATGTGGGATAGACAGCATCGCCACCAGATGGATTTGTAACTGACTGACAAATCACACCCAGAGGGGTATCCCAAGGTTGTGTTTTAGGCTCAGTATTCTTCAACATCTTCATATATGATCTAGATGAGGGAACAAACTTGCAGATGATACTAAGGTGGCAGGGCCCAGAAGACAGAGTTAGGGTTAGAGCGATTGTACTATGAGAGACAGGAAGTCTCCACAGACCTCGGTCCATCCAGGAACATTTATCCAAATTCTCTTTTCCTTTGGAGAAAATGTCAAAATCAAATTCTTTTCAACCAAACTGAATTAAGAACAGGTAGAAAAATCAGGGGAGAACTTTCTGCAGCACAAGTGCAGATGTCCAGCGGTTGCTTGGCTGATCCTCAAGCAAAGTGGGAGGGCTGATGTTGTGCGGGAAGGGAGCTTGTGATCAGTTTTGCAGGGCTTCAACACACCACATCCCAGATTCTCTTCCAAAGAACACAAAGCTTGTGTTGGTTTTGCACAAGTCAGAACTTGCTTCCTCCACAGCCCCAACCCGTGTTCATGTTCCCACCATCTGACTCCACCCACTGTTTCAGGGCAGGTACTTCAAAGACGCTCCACCTGCGCTCATCACTGCAAAGGAGCTGCCTCA